CATTTTTCGATCTAAATCGACGCGATTTCTGTCTCGATCCGTACGATTTTTGATTAGATCTGTACGATTTTGACTCTAATTTTCTCGATTTGTTCGATTTCTGTTGCAATCATACGATTTGTTCGATTTATTCGATTCTGTCATGGCTGCTGTCAATCCTACCGATGATCCATCATCTCCATACTACCTACACGCTAGTGATAATCCAGGAGCGTTAATCGTTGCCGAGCTCTTCAATGGCGAAAACTTTGTCTCCTGGTCTCGGGCTGTTCAGATGACACTTAGCGTCAAAAACAAGAGCGGATTCATTGATGGCACGTTACCTGCACCCTCTCCTTCTGGTAACACATCTTCTCTTTATGTCTCCTGGGTGCGTGCTAACAACTTGGTGCTGTCTTGGATTTTAAACTCTATCTCGAAAGAAATTCGTCAATCTCTCTTGTTTTTTACCTCGGCAAAAGAAGTGTGGGATGAAATTAAGAATAGATATGCCATGAGCAGTGGACCTAGGGTTTTTCAACTTGAAAAGTCTTTGAGTACAATAGACCAGGGTTCATTGTCCATTACTCAGTATTATAACATGTTTAAGGCTCTTTGGGATGAATATGTTACTTTTAGGCCTGTTATCAAGTGTAATTGTGGTGCCTTTGTGTCCTGTACTTGCAATATATTTGAGTCCATGGCTGCCTGTCAGCAACAAGATTCTGTTATGAAGTTCCTTGTTGGATTACATGATTCTTACTCTCCACTTCGCAGCCATTTCCTCTTATCCACCCCTTTGCCACCATTATCCAAAATATACTCCATCCTCTTTCAAGAGGAGACACAAAGAACCCTCCACAACACTACAAATCCCTCAGAATCCTTGGCCATGATTGCTAAAACTTCCCAGCAAAATACTCACCCTAACTTCAAAAATACCAAACCAGCTCACCCAAAGAAAAGGCCTCGTTGTACATATTGTGGCTATGGTCACCCTTCTGAAAAATGTTTCCAAGTTGTTGGTTACCCTGAAAACTGGATTGGACCCAGAGGCCCCAGAATCCATCCTCAACATTCTGCCCATGCCACATATACTACCCCTGACCAATCCTCAACTCCCTCTGATAACCCTGTCTCTCTTACTAATGATCTACTTCATGAGCTCAATCTGCAGCTGGATCTTTACCAAATCCTGCTGTAGTTGCTACTGCCATTCAGGAACCCTCAGGTTTTTCTAAACCCCATTACTGCATGTCTTTGACCACATTTTCTAAAAACACATGGATATTAGATACTGGAGCAACAGACCACATGATAGGTGATGCATCATTTTTCTCTGTCACCCCTAAAACTGTATCTATCTCCATCAATTTACCTAATGGTCAGAGTACTACTGCTTGTTCTATTGGGACTGTTCAGTTAACTGAGTATTTAACCTTATATGATGTGCTATATGTGCCAAACTTTCATTTCAACCTTATTTCTGTATCAAAACTAGTTTCAACTAGTAACTGCATGATCCAATTTGTTTCATCCTGTTGCACATTACAGGATCTGAAAAGCAAGAAAATGATTGGTTCTGCTGAATTGAAAGATGGCCTCTATCACATGTGTCTTGATAAATCTTCATTGTATGCACACAA